CTCTTCCGGTATATGCTTTCACCCAATAATTTGCTGAATAAGCCCACAAAAATGTGAAGATGTGCTGCTGTGCTTGCTGAGTTCCAAACAATGAAAATCTCTGAACTGTACGTACAGCTTTAAATACAGTAAATAGTCTGGTTTTGTGACCTTTTGGTTTCAATAGTATTGGTTTTAGTATTGCTACTACTAAAATTTTTAGTTACTTAATTTCATTTTCTTCAAGCTTTCTGAGTCTTTCTGAGGGCACTTACTTAAATAGTCTCTATTGTTTTTCTGACATATGATTCACATTTCATCTCTTTTGGGTAGGAATCTGTAATGAATGTATTTGGAACAAAAGAGGGTTTTTCTGGCTTGTACAGCTTGACTTGCTGTTGTGTGGCTTTTCTTAATAGCAAGTGCCCCAGAAGATCACTCTTCAATACTTCTTGCTGTAATAATTTCCTCCCCTCCCATTATTTTTAAATTACACTTGTATAATCAAAAGCAGATAGGAATCTATATTCTGCTATTACATCCACATACTGCAGCAAGAGGCTTAATTCCTATTTTAGGAATGACCATCTATTGTAACTAAAACCAGAATGTTGCATGTTAATATTGAGTTTATGGTAAATCCTTCTATAGTCAAATGAGAGGAAATAAAACTGGAGATGCTCAAAGTGACAGTGTATCTAGAAAAGTGTTCTTGGATCTGCCCTGATGTCCTAGCTAGAGAGAAGATGGATGCAGTGCATCACAAAGCCAGGAACACTGCTACTGTAATTTTTTTCTTCGCTATAGTGAACTAAGGAAAAACTAGAAACCTTATGTTCCGAGCCATTGTATTTTTTCCATTAATGATGGTTTTTCCCTCACTGTCTCCAAATGAGATGTGCCTACATATGTATCATACTGTGAGATATTAAGACAAAAAAAAAAAAAAAAATATTGCCTTCAGAACAGCCCAGAAATAGATCGCTGAGAGATATATATATATATATAATTTTTTTTTTTTTCCATTTATTTGGAACTGTTGAAAGCCTAAAACCTGAGCAGTTACTTGGTAACTGTGTTGTGTATTTAGTTTTGCAGACTGACTTCACTGGAGTTAGTCTGGCAAAAAAATGAAAGGAGAAACTGAATTTCATTCAGTAATCCACTAAAATGATCATGTTATTTACTGAGGCCCTCAAAATGTAGTATTTTTAAGCAATTACATATAATCTAGATTTTTTGTAATCATATCATTCAGATTTTTGAAATGCAAAAGGCTTAACTAAACAATGCATATGGTTCTTGTTCAACTCCCTGAAGCCAACAGATGAGATTTTTTTTTTTAAAGTAGAGTAAACTTCCTCAACCTCCTAAACCTTATTTGGGCGTGTAACCATGTTTTGAAGCATTAGTTCTATGCAGACTGGAAAGCCTGCATACAAAGTTCTCTCGCAGATGGAACTTGAGAGATCTGGGACAAAGTTTCAGAGAGCTTCAGTAAAAGAAAGTTTCAGTCAACTTCAGCTACTCCCTACAACTTTGGTGATACTTTGAAGACACGAATTAAGTAAAATGGAGAGAATAAGGAAAAGTGATTGATTGAAAATTAAACTACTCCATTCCATGTTCATGAAGTTTTTAATACTCGTTTTGCTAAGATGTAGAACAAGGACTATTAAATTTCCATTCATTAGCAGGCAACAAGATATGAATGAGTATTACCTTCAAACAAAAAACTGATTTATAACATTGTTGTGCACTTAAAATAATTACAAATCATTTTTAAAAAGGAGGAATAACAGAGGAAACAATAATGAATATAAAACATGACTGATGAGGCTTAAACATAATTTCAAGTATTCTATAGCATTTCTTCAGACAGTTGTCTTAAATTTGTTTGTGCAATACCCATCTTTGCATAGTACGGGAAAAATTTGTTTTAATGCCAGTCTTAAGTAATTGGTTCCTTCTTAACATGCACCTATTATATCTTTTTTAGTTTGCCTACTAGATTTCTCTTTTAGGAGGATCAGGTCAACTGAGAGGGATCATGCAGCAAACTGGTGTGAGTTATACAGTCAGTCACTGTACAGGTTCATGTCCAGATGAATCAATAAATAGAGCAAACGTATAGTGGGTGAAATGGAGACGCTGCTGACCGTGTCTTCTGTTGATGAGACTTTGTGATGAACACATTAACATTAAATGCATATGATGTATTCTCCAAAGCATATCAAAGGCATGATGTAGAAAATAAATATCTGTCTAAAACACTTTATTTTTTTTAACTCTAATAGAAAGCACTTAATCTATACCCACTCTGAGCTGTGTTGTCACTTGCATTCTCTACAGACAGAGCAGAAAGCGAATGTGTTCTTACGCATGCATGCGACAGCTGATGAGTGGTGGGTAAATTCAATCGAGAAATTGTACTTCCTATGAAATTGCTGGTGTAAATAAAAAGTTACTCCAGCACTTAGCATATGTACATAGTAGTTGGGGACCACTGTGGTCTGATTTAAAACATCACATCGCACATTTACAATGTTGTTTGTGAAATGTTTCTCAAAGGTTTATTACACAGGTAGTTCATGTATCTTCAATTGGTTGGAGTTTTTTGGTAACCACTAGTGTTTCTGTTGTGGCCCCATTTGCTTTGGGAGGCGGAACTTTGTTTAACAAAGTTGGGGATTATGTTGCCAAGCCAAGCCATAGTTTTACAGAACAATGATAGAGTTGCAAGTATTTTTGGTTCCCCATAGAAGTATTAATTGTCACTAACTTAATTCTACCTGAAGTCAGGCAGGAATTTTTCAGAACGTGATTTATAATGTAGTATCAGTGATGACTACCTGTGTGCAGCACCTTTAACTCATGTAGTAAGTGTTAATGTGATTATGTTAAAGCTGTTTAAAAAACACTTCATAATAAGTCAGATTCAACATTATCATAATATGAAATATAATTAAAGCCAAAAAAGATCTTGTAAGTAAGTAAGTCACAGGGAAGTCTGCAGCATTTTTCCTAATGTTCTATTTGAGCCTTAAAGCTAACTCAAGCAACTGATTTCCACTGAACAAAGATGGAGTAAGTCTTGCAACTGGCCTTCCATTGCTAGCGATATCCAACTTCTAAATTAAAAACAAAATTACAGAAGAGGGCTTTGATCCTGATGATCAGTTGCAGCAGTAGAATTTTCAGGTAATTTCACTTGCACTCATGTAGATCAGCTTATGTAAAGTCAACACAAGAAGGACTGACCAGACCTTATGGCTTTAGGCTTTTAAGGGTGGCCTAAACTGGATGGCTTCATAACCTTCTCAAGTCAGATAAGCCTGGGCTAGTTGGTTACTAGAAGCACAGTACACCTGCTCAGCACTTCACTGCAAAAATCTGTATTCAAACACAAGGTACATCTAAAAGTAATTACAACACACAAACCCTCTGAAATTATATGGAGTTTTTGCACATTTTGTGACAGTAACTATCAGTAGCAAGGGTCAAAATACTAATTTTGTGTTATACTTTGAAAAGTGATATGCATCAAAGACGTTGAAGGAATGATTTGGAAACGTCAGTCATCTTTGCAAACCAGTTTGGTTCAGTAGGGGGAAGAGAAGAATAGCTCATTTTAAGTTTTTAACATTTTGTGAGTATTTTAAGGCTTATTTAAGTTTAATTCACAGGAAATAGAAAAAATAGCTAAAGTTTTTAAAAAAAAAAAAAAAATTGGCACTTCTGTGATTAACTTGAGAGGGTGTCACTTTCTTACATTATATACAGAAAATCTGCATGACAGCCAAAAAAGTAATCCAGGAGGCTTACAGTCAATACACAGATATGCATTTATACATTTTAATTGTTTTTGGTTTCAAGCATACAAACTTCAGATCACATCTGTTTGGTGTCAGATCTCCCTGCATCTGCATGCTATTATCTGCCTTTTTTGAGCAAGCCCAGAACACCCACTGTACAACATGCTAGAGAAAAGGGGGAGCAAAAAAAAAAGAAACCCAACATCAAAAATAGATTTACATAAAGAATAGAACCTTTTTTTAAGGAAATCCTTCTCTCTATATATAATCTGTGAAAATGATATGTCAAAATCTTATTTCCATATTTACACCTTTTCCTTCCTGGAAGAACTATACATCCATCACTTCATAGCTCCCATGCCCAACAGACTCCTAGCTCAGGAGACGAAACAAGGCGGACAGTAAGCTCACAGAACAGGGAGCTCTGAAGTCCAGAGACAGAATGCGCTTGCAGGGCTGGAAGATTTATCAGAGGCTACTATCGGCTTCCCAGTGGTTTGTACTTATCGGGCTGCAGGTTCTGCTTGGGGTGAGCTTGCTAGCTTGGTGGTTTGTGAGCCATGCAGGTTACCCTTTCGAAAATTAGCTCCTCATGCCACTGGAGTTTTGATAAGGAAAAAGGAAGTCATGCGAACTCAAGTGAAGTTAGAGTACCAGCAGGCTGGGAAAAAAAATCTTCCGCTCTTTCTTTATTTTGAAAGAGTTCTCTTATTGCACTTGGTCTGTTTCTCCTCCTTTTGTTGGAGAAAAGGAAAAAAAACTGATTTTGAAACAGTTTGCTTGTAACACTTGTCTGTTAACATTAACGAGAAAGGTGAACGGAGGAAGTATTTCGAACTTATCTCCAAAAACGACAGTTTTGTATCACCCCAATTCCCAGCACCCCAAGACTGTGTCTATAGTTATTGGTTTCTTTATGCTCTTCCTTACTGATTTATTTCCTGCACAACTACAGCAAACGCATCATACCCAAAATCCAGTAGTGCAAGGAGAAGCTTTTTCAATCAAGTTTCTTCAGATAGGGCCTTGTTGATTTGGATCGAACCTTCGTTTTTTGACATTTCTTCCAGGTTGCCATCAAAAGGAGATGAAAAGAGAAAAATGCAAACCATTAGTTAGGTGTAACAGGAATAAAGCGTGATACTAAGGTCACAGTGAAGTAAAAGGCTCACAGTGAGGCAGTTTAACAAGGTAACTTTTCTAAGCGGTAACAATTTAAGGAATTTGCTTGCATGCTTTCTGTATCCTAGCATCAATTATGTGTTTCCTTAGGCAGTTTAAGATCATGCTGGCATACAGAATTCAATTACTTCTGTAGTACTTCACGTGATGCTCTAAACTTGCAGAAATTTTCTGACCATAGTAGCATGTGTGCCCAAGTAGGCCAAGAAAGCATGCAAATACCTAAACTGAATGAGTCAAAATGCCCAGCAGCAGTGTACACACACAAGCACACGTAAAGACACGAGTACTTATAGCAGGTGCCCATCTTTGGCTACACCAGAACTTAGTTTGCGTCCTCCACTAGGAGGAAAAAGTTAGTGCCTCAGTGAGCTCTTACCACACCATGGACCATAGAGGCTGTGAGTCTCAGTAATGTGCAAAATATAGCAAAGACATTGCACTCGAAGGAGACTGGACAGTTTTGCAAGCTGTGTGATTAGAATTTAATTTTAATAGCGGATAGCAAGCTGGTAAGTTGATATCCAGTCTCCTACGACATTGATATCCTACGTCAAACAGCAAGACGTTACAAAGCGACAACAAAAGTTAGGTGCCACCTCCCCAGTATCTGGCTTTATGTGGGGCATCAAGCAAGGGGCTCATGCATTTAATTTTAACATTGGGCATATGCACCACTACCGCCACCAAACTGACATGCAAAAAATACACAACAGGAATTAATAAATTCCATAAAACTACACACCAACCCCAGGATTTTCTACTTTCTGTAGCCCTGCTGACTACTACTGCTGCTACAATGTTTATACCTATACTATATGCAAGGTCTGCTGGGGGTTTAAGTGACTAATGGACGTGTCCAAAAAGCAACTACCCCTGCCTTGGGTACCAGTGCCTACGTTTTGGTAAAAAAGCATGCTTAAGAATTGCTGGCCTCTAAAATATTACTATATTAACTGTTTAATCACTTCCTTTCTGAGTGCTATACTAACACTCCTTTTCAGTTAGGCTGACGTTACTTCAGTAGCTCAATCCACCTCTGTACTACCGGTAATTTTGAGAGGAGCAATTTTTTTTTTTTTTTCAAACACTTAGTAGGAATTTGAATACAGCAGCTTAATTGAATGTGAATTAAAGTCATCCTTCAGTCTGTTTATCCTGCCAGGGAAAAGGACACCTGCCCTTTTTAAACAGTGTCTGGCACACTTGAATTCAAACGCTACTGATGAGCAACTATCAGTCCCCTTAAAGCAAGTCATTAGTGCATGCAAAAAAAATGCAGATGATGTAACTAGTCCTTCTGCTCTGGGGAAACCATCATATTGCAGTTAAAATTGGAAGAGGACAAATCATTACAACCTATACTGAATAAAATTCCATTACCTGAACTTCTTAATTAAATCAAGAAGTGGATTTTTTTAAGACCTAATACAAGCTACGGAGGAAAAGATGCATTGCTGACGTCCCCAATACAACGCTTCTAACCAAACTGTTTTGACTTTTTCTAATCAAATCTTTTCTAATCGGATCTCCATCAACACAACAGTCCAGCAAAGAGTGCTGCGTTCCACTGCAGCTCTGAGAGCACCCATGCTTTGGGACAACAGTCGGCATCTGCTGGGCCCTCAGCATGCATTCTACTGTCTGTCCAAACCGTAACGTCACTGATTTTTCTAGTTTCATCCAGCAGAAATACATACTTTGAGAAATATAATACTAATCAAACTATTCCTTCCTTCACTTAGGATGTTCTGCTAACACTGCTGCATGAGAGAAAAACAGCTGAGGAACCAAAAGGACGTTTCAGACGATGGCCTGAAGTAGCCTCTGAAACGCTGAACAGCAGGTCACGTCCGTAAGGCAAAACAGTACACACGTATATAACAACTAAGAAAGAATCCACCTTCTCGTTTCTGCGATCTCAGCACTTAACAGAGGTAGGCAGTCAGGTAGTGCCCTGCAGAAACCACAATTCTACTCTGATTTCTTGATATGCTATAACAATGATTTTTATGCTCAAACGAAGGCAGTAGTCTTACACTTGCTGCTTTGTAGCTATGTACCACAGTAGCACAAAGTCCCCTTAGAGCGTTCAGGCAGTCTTCATAAACAGCTAACCTTTAAGCATGCTTCAGTAAAATTTTATTGACTGTGGGTCAAGCATGTCCCCAGGGCCTGCGTTTATAACCTGGGCCGTATGCAGGCCTGCTCAGCCATAACCGTGGCGCTGAAGGGCAGAGGTAGGACGGCTGGGCTGCGAGAGCTGCCCCTGCGGCGCTGCCCTTGGAAGCAGCACGCTCCCAGGGGGAAGCACGCACCTCCAGCACACTGAGACAACAGCCCTGCTTTGCGCTAGTGCCTGCTGCAGGCTGTTTTAAAAATTGGTCCAACAGAGCCTAAATGACATGATAAATTAGTATCTCCCTTAGCAATCAATAGAATTTCAGTGTCTGAATTTTGTACGCTTTTGTAATAAAGCTGTATTCTACCTTTTTAAAAATGGTCACTAGGGCCTAAAAAGGTACATTTAAATGCACGTCGGATACGATTTTTAATTGTTACTGGTCTTGTGAAATCGTCAGAACAGAATAACTATAAGCTTTTTAAGCTTTTGGCTAATTTCAGTTACGCTTTTTTCTTAAATACTTAAGTTTTGAAGCGGGACTTCCTTGCCTGTGTCGTCACATCTGAATCGTTTTCCTGTTTTAACCTCTCAGAAAACTTCTTAGACTTTTTTCAGCTGCATATCACAGCTAGTCTCCTTTAAAACTCTCCTACCTCTATCAGAAAAAGCAAATCTGCTATCTTGAAACACTGCAGTAAAAGAAATACTGTGTGGGGGACCTAAATGATACTTGATGCTGTTTCCTATTTCTTTGTTTAATGCAGAATCTACTACAGAACATTAACTTCTTTTGCGCTTAACATTTTAAGGCGTACTTAAATAACAAAGTTCAGCCTCTGTCTGGAATCCAACAAGAAAACAACAACAAAAGTCTCTTATCTGGATAAAAGCAAATTTACAGATAGTCCTGAATCAGAGAAAAGCATACCACACTGTAACGAGCTACAGCACATGACTGTCTCTGTAACATGATCTTCCTTTACAGATGAAAAATATTTCAGAAAAGGAATATTTCATTTTTCAAAAGGCTAGATAGATGCAAGAAATACCATTCTGTGTTCCTCTGCCTCCTCCCCTCTCCCCCCAACTAATAAGGAATGTGTTTATACAATATCTTATTGCTTGTGAGTCTCTGCCTTCTTTGTGTGGTCATTAAAAAAAGAAAGTTTTACAAAAGTATTTAAAGACTAAAACACTGATGTTGAACAAATCTCTTCCAATAGCCAATGTTTCCATATGCATTCCTAAAGCAGGATTCAAATGCTGAAGAAGGGATTAAATTAATGACCTTTTGCTGTAAACTGATGCAGATTAACAAAGCAAAGAGCTGAAATTAGCATCTTAAAATAATATGTTGACCTGCCATTTATTTTATCAGTTTGAAAAAATGAAATAATATCTCAAGTTGGACTCTTTTGTGTAGGTAATGACTGTATCTGAATCACTGTATATGCTTTAAGGAAATACTAGTAAGGGACAGAAGCATACTTCCGACAAAGTCTCCATTAGCATTCTAGTACCTTATTTTGCAGAAACTTGTGGGGCCTAAACGCACCTGCACAGACCAGCTAAACATTTCGGACCTGTAAGGACTGAGTAACTCTTTGGTCCATCTGTTAATTCTCAGGTAAAAACAACAGCACTACTCCTCTTTGGCTAAGAACCAATTGCTGGGAACAGAACTGTGCCTACAGTCTACTCTTCATCCTTCTTTATCAGTCACTTCCACGTTCTGATGACTGTAAGGAGGAGGAGTCTTTCATGGGTATTTTACATCACTTTTACCAGCACTGCCTCTTAGCAGTATTGCTTAAAGTACCCAAATTTGCCTTAGAAGTGCAACACTATTAAGTCAGCAACAAAAAGCATTTAATTGACTTACTTTTGCAAAGCTACTGCAAGCAGTATAAGGGTACACACCCTTACGAACACAGGCCCCCAAGATTAAGACTGCAGCCAATGCAGCGGCCCCAGGTAAGAACTACTCATAATAAAATGCCTTTCTTGCACCAGTGCTGTATCGAATGTTGCATATTTAAGTCAAGTCTTGTGCAGACTTGCTGCATTGAAATGAATTTCAGCTCTCATGAATGTAGTATTTCCGTATACTGCCTGGCACCTTTAAGGTCGGTCCTGACACACGTAGGAGTCCCTTGCTGCAATCTGAACACCAACAGCTTTAAAAGGACTATGCAAGGCTCTGCTGAAGTACAGTCTACTTCCTAACAAAGTTTCCACATGCAGCCTGTAACTCTAACCCATCAGAAGTATTTAACGAGGCTCTGTGCCCCCTAAAACTTTGTCAGTAAACTTTTCCTTCCTTCCTATTCTCTCTGCATATTAACTTGATTAGAAGACTTAATCTAGGATTCATTCTTGAAACGGGAAGTTTTTACTGTTTCCCTAAACTTGCATCAAACCTTCTTTTCCAGTTCCCCTTTCTCCCCCTCCCCAAGCCCCCCACCCCACCTCAGTTCATGAACAAAGTTTGCTTAGTTGCAGCTTACGTTTGATTTGGACTTGACACCACAGTACCGTATGTACATATGAACATCTGACAACCTGTGAAACAGAAATCACATCTCCCAGTTTGTAAAGCATTAGCTACCTTCTCTCATAGCTGTAGAGACTAAACATATCGCTTGCTTAAAAAGGAAAAAGTTAAAGTCCTCTTTATTATCCTCATCTGTCCCTCCAGATATATCTGAAGCAAAGTGTTAGAGGGTCTAGCAGCCCTCTTTTGTATAAAAGTCTTTTCAGTTCCCCTCTGACCCCCAAGAAGAAACATGCACTTCAAGCTGTGAGCTAGGCCAGGCCAGTGTATTTGAGGTTCTGCTACAGAATAAACATTTATATCTTGCTCTTTTGAGAATACTAACTTCAAGAGACTTTTCTGATATGTGTCTTGTATGGGGATAACAAACTTCTGTGTTTGGGCAAACGAATAACACCAGGATGCAAAGCAGAACAGTTGTGAGAGTAGTTTAAGCGATGGGAGCACAAAGAAGAAATAAATGATTAAATATTGCATTATTAAAACAGGAAGGATTATTGTAAAGATCTGTGTTCATGCAAATTCTCAAATGTAGGTGTGCCCAGCCTAGGTGTACCCAGTCTGCACCCAGGTATACCACTCAGACCAACACTTAATGCAAATGTTGGCAGGTGCTGCAGCACAACTCTAAAAAAGCTTCAGTCTAGGCCAAAGGTTCCTATGGCACAAGAGGGCTTAAAAAGATTCAGAAAAAAGACACTGCCTAAAATTTAAGGTTTTAAAATTGCAATGACTTGTACTGTATTTTAAAAAAATTACCTGTTGTATTACAAATATATTACTTCGGGATAAGCACTAATCGCTGTGCCCGTTGTTAAGTAAAAGACATACATCTCTGATACAGGTCCAGAAATACAACCTGTCATTTATTTTTTTTCATTGAAATATAGCTTGGTTAATTCCCATGGAAACTCGAAATATCAATGTTGTTAATATTATCACTTTAAAAACGCGTGCATATAGAACTCTAATCTGTTTTCTCAGTAAATCAAAAATTTTAACAGGAATGTTAATACAAGGCTTGCAGAAAATTTGGCTTTTTTTTTTTTTAAAGCTAATTGCAGTAAAGTATAAATAAAATCAGTTCTGCAAATGAACTACTTCGGTATTGCTCATATGCTTTATTTAGGTGAAAAGACAACTTTCTCCTCTAATCTCTTATCTACTAGGATATACCAGAAAAGATTCAAATACGGTTCAAATATGTCACTGCATATTCTAAAATACATGCTTCATTTGAATTTCTGTCTCTGAACATATATGTGAAGCAACACATATAAATACTAAAAAAACCATTATCTCACTGTTTATACATTTGGAAAGTATTATCTCAGCCATTTTATAAGAAACAATGGAAAAGAATACGGCTGTATTAAAAACTATTTTGCTAAGAGCTGCCTGTAGTAATGTACAAATACTGGAGGCTGCCTTAGAGATAGTTATAAATTAAATTATTTGTGCAATAAATGAGGAGAAGCTGTTAGAAAAAAGATACAACAGCTTAAGGTAGGTCTATCTGCAGACATAAAAGGCCAATAAAGAGCATATACCAATGATTTAAAGAAAGGTAAGACTGACACGTATTTAATCTTTCCCATTAAAGTAAATGAGGTGTGGTACCTCTGTGGCAGACTCCCCGGCTGACCCACCTGCACTGCAGCTCCTGCGTGTGCCAAGGGGAGGACCAGAAGACGTTTGCAGAAGCAAGGGCAAACCCCGTTTTCTGTTCTTGGCTGGGCTAAAAAAAAGACTTAAAAATATTTTGCTTCTAAATGCCTATGTAATTAAGGCCACTGGACACTGTCAAAATGTTAACACTTTAAAATAAGTGAGGAAAAAAAACCCACTTTCAGGTGACCTTTCATAGCGAATTAGCAGATAAATATGACCTGACTACTATTTTCTGTTTTGATAACCTTCTTAAGCAATTAGAGAATAATTTTTTTTTCTTTTCAACTTAGGCGTAGAATATGAGTATAGGCTTATTTTTCTTCAAATTGTTATTAAAAACCTGATTATTATGGAACTATGATTTATTGTCGTATCATGGCTTAATCGGGATTCATATTATTGAAAAGCAATAGCAACTTGAATACCATGAGAAATGACTTGTTTTTATGTTTACCACTTTTACGATTTGTAAGTTTAAAAACACTAGTTCCAAATTTAGATCCTTTTTAACCAAATATGGAGCATGAATGTAGGTAGATTTGACCCTTAAAAAAAAGGGGGAAGGGGGCAAAATTAATACCTCTTGTACAAGACTCCCTCTTAGCTTTAATGGTCACAAGTGGAAAGATTAGTATGCTACTCTTGATAGTTATAAAATATATTAAACTAGAAATGAGTGAGAAATGTTTGTGTTTCAGGAGACAGTTCAAGATTTCAAAATGGTCTCTCTCTAATCTTGAATTGAAATTAAAAATATATATATATCAATTTGTGAATTTGATATGAATCAATGATAATAATAATTGGCTCTGGTACTTCGGAGACAACGGTTTCAGTAACGTCTTTGCTATTGAAAACTACTCCTTTACTGCCATCACTTGGCATTTTCACATAAAGGTTTTGATTATAAAAAGCTTATTCGTTTTAAAGTACTACTGTATTCAGAATCAACACTTTAAACTAAATACGTATCTGTTGGGGTTTTTTTAACCCCTGGTGTCAATTCCTGATAAAAGAGAACCACAGCATTACTAACTGAAGGTGGGGAAAAGAAAATATTACCTTGCTTATTAAATGTTAGGGGGAACTCATGAGAGTTAAATTATTTCTCTTATTGATCTTCAGCTTTGCACCCTGATGCCATCTGTGTCTTGAATCCATTTCCTCCTCCCTCTCAGTGCATGCATAGTTCTTTCTCTTTAAAGAAGTTTGTTATAGTTTTGTGTTTTTTAGCTTACAAATCTTGTAGCAGGAACTCAAAATTTAGTGATGTAAGCAAGAAATAGAAATGCCATAGCCACTGAAGAGAAGACATGCGGCATTGCTTACTTAAAGCCCCATCCTGTCCCCCCAAGGACAATAGCTGCTACCAGGATGGCACCAGCGATGGAGCCTATTATAAGATTGGTGGCACTAGGACCTGTGATAAAGCATTATGGGAAGAAAGACGTAAGAACCAACCACTTTATTCACAGTAAGTGAAGCAATTGAAGGGTAGGCAAACAATTAAAGGAATACAGACAGCACACAAGGTGATGTCTCTAAACATTTTCAGTAGGCCCAACTTACTTTGATAGTAAGCATGAACAAAGCTGTTGGTCTCTCTCAGTCCTACTTTAACTTCTACCATATGTAAAAATCTAATGTTAAAGCATGAACTCCATTGTGACTTACTCCATTATCTAGTAAATAAATTGTTAACTGAGGGCTCTAAGTTTGTAAATAATTCCTTAACTTCAAGGAAAAAGTATGAATGCGGTATTTTTTTTATGCCTACAGCAAATGCAAAGAAAATCAAAAGCCTGTTTTTTTCATGTAGATCCTGAAAGGTGGTAGATATTTTAATTTGAGCTGAGAGCATCTAGCACTACTTGCTAATCAGAGTGCAGAGTCCCTACAATTAACATCAGTGCTAGATTTGCAAACAATAGCTTGACAAAAGCAACAGGACTATGTAATAAGGAACTGAAGTTGAAATAAAAGCTGTATTCCCATTAAATTTTCCAAACATCAAAGAATCGAGAAGCTCCTTAACAACAAAGTGGGGAGGGGTGGAGTAGGAAAAAAGAACAAGAAAAAAGTGGCACAGACTAGCTTTGTGCAATTTTCCAGAGATAGCGAGAGAACACCTAAATGCGAAGTTCATAATTAACCCTTAAGTGATCTATGTACAGAGGGTGGAGGAAAACAGACAGTAAGGATCACTGTTTTACCAGTGTAATTGCTTAGAACAAGAATTTCCTATTGAGCAGCCTTTGATGTAAAGCTAATTGCATCTGAGTTCAAGGCAAAATGAAACCAACACAACAGTTCTTCTGCAGCATGCTGCACGCTCTGTGTTCACGTGTCCAGGATTAGCCTCCAGAAACAGTTCTTACCTCCTACCCCAGTCCTCCCAAACCAACACTTCTACACCACAACAGAGAATTACTATTCTAACTATTCTGTTGCTGAGTTTGAACAACTTTCAGAGAGCTGGTATAAGAAGAAGAAGCATCTAGAGACGGCAAAAGAAAGAAGCAGGGGCAGCTGCAACAACGGAAAGCCTGAAGCAGTTAGGTCAGTATCACAAACACCTTCTGCCCAGTCCCAGACACTAGAAGAAAAGAGTACTCTGGGTTTGAAAATGCATCAGTGACCTAACTTCACTGCATGCATTACAGGTTTCCCGTAGTCGTGCTTTTAGATACCAGATTAGCCAAAGGAAAACCAAGCTCGCCAGGGGTTTTTTTGTAACATCCAGTGGTATGAAAGAATTACTCTGCAAACATGTCATTAACTGGTTCATATAAATATCCATTTCAGGGACTGAAGAGCATACAGACCCAGCTGAAAGTCTGCATGATATATCACTCTGAATTAGTATACACAAAAAATTTTCTTCCCCTCATGCTTCAGAACAAAAATCCAGATTTTTGCCATGAACTTAGGTTGAGTAGTACACTGTTTATTTGAGGAGTTCACAGGTACTTCAGGAGGACTGCTTGTTTATTCGTTTCAAACAAGTGTAGCAAAATATACATTCTCCCCAGTCCTTTCAGACATTTGATTTAAAAATGGCTTCCAGCAATTCCTACACAAAGAGCGTTCAGGAATATTAGTAAAAGACAGACTAAAAAGAAATATAGTGAGCTTTACATATATGAGCAGTGCACAAACTTGACAACAATAATGAAAAGATCATTTTTCACAATTTGGAATAAGACATCGTACTTGGACTTACCTTTAAAGTCCCACCTGGCTATAAATCAACAGTAATAAGCATGGTGGAGAGCAACAAAAGCGCCATTTCATAGGCATTATATTCCCAATTAAGACTTTCTTTCAACAGTTAGCAGCCTAAAGAGCTACTGTATCTGACTCAGCAGTACGACTTTGGCTTTTCTTTATTAGCAAAAGATTGAAAACACAGCAAGTATTATCTATAACAATTTTTAGAAGCCTTGAAAAATTCTAAAGCTGATTCCTTGCTAGCCACAGAATGCTATTTTCCCCATAAAAGAGATGGCAGGTACTAGGATTAGCTGATAGTAATGTATTCATAATTTAGATAAGGAAGTACCAAATGGCCACTTTTTAACCTCTCCTCATAGGAAAACTATGTTCCCTGGTTGTTAATTGTTAGGGGCGGGGGGACAGGACGGACACCACACTGTTTGCTAGGGCACATTCATTTAACAGGCAGTTTGGACTTTCAATCCAGGACGCCAATACTGTTTTTATTGACTATAAGTATGGAAGAATTCAACTAAAATTGAAGCAGAAGAGGATAACGTACAAACCAATTAGGTTTAGTTAAGCAAAAAAATAATGAAATCATGCTAAATGTTAAAGGGGTTGTGATAAAAACACTTTTCAGATCTTACTCATTTTTATAAAGCGTCATTAACTAAAGAAGTGGCATTCATTTTTGACACAACAAACCATTGTGAAAAATCAAATGCCTGTAAATATTAGGCAATCTGCTAGAGAGTAAAGGATAGATGGCTGTGGATAAAGGCATGCCTGTTCCTGTGGAATAATTTAAAACTATTTCACAGTATATTGGGAGTGGCAGTTCATACAAATGCAGAGAAACCGCTGTTTTTCCTAAATTGATTAAAGAAATGGGAAAGGCAACATTCAAGGTAAATTTTTACTTTTATCAACAAGACTATAATCTAATTTCAAGATTTCTGTGAAAACAGAGCTGGTGACATGCTTATGATTACTAAACATCAACTCCTCCTTGGTTATGAGGAGACAGTTCTCCAGCTGAGGAGTTCCACGTTTGAAATATTTACAGACAGTTAAGAGGAGTGCTGGGAAGTTGGGAAGTTGTTTTAAAGAACATAGCAGACCGTGCACATGAAAGTACTTAAAACAGTATGCAAATAATTGTACATGTTATTGTTTACCTTGCCTTAAAGATGTGTGCATTATGTTTATCAAGCATATTAATGAATTTAGATTATTAATAGAGTAGGATTTAGTTATCAGTATGAAGTGCACTTTGCATCAGATTGTTATTTTAGTTAGTAACGTTTATGAAAAAAATATAAATAAGTAGCTTTCAGCCAAATAAACTTCTCTGGTCACTGGACTCAGATGCAGATTGGAAGTAAGAGAAAGGTTTTAACAAGCACTGTACCGGGGGGGGCAGTTTCCACCCAGACTATTGTGATGTACAAAACTCGAGGAATTTGTTCCCTCTTACCTCCTGCTGCTATAACCCGCAGGCACAGGTTAATCAGGAGCAAGCCTCTGCACGTGCCTAGTGCCCCCCAGCACGCCCCCATTCCTGCAAGGCACTCTCTGCGTGGCATGGCCAGTACTCCTTGCTACCGTGTTCTCTCTAGCCATCTCTGAAGACCACGATACAAACTCTACTGAAGGTGTTAAAAAACAAACCAAACACACCTCTCTCTAATTTCCATGGACTTTAGATTGTTCCCTAAATCTTCATCATCATCAGACAGACTCTACGAGAACTAAAATGCATTGTTCTGAAATTCTTCTTGTCGTAGAAGAGTTGAGTTTACTACAGATTGCCCTGAAAGTTAAAACAGACTACAGTTTTTTTGATGTTCTCTTTTCAAAAACCTTTCTTCCTTTTACCTATCACTCTGCCAACCAAATCCTCCGGCTTAAGTCATCAAAGCCAGATGTCCATTTCAGGATGAAATCTGAAAGAAAATGATTCAGCCATATCATCCCACATGACTGCTAAAATACCTTCATAGAGCATTAAGCTTAAGTATTTCTACCATGTGAAGAAAAGTCTGGAATTGACAAGGGAAGTGGGGAGGGAGAAGGAGGAAAGGCAGGACCTGGCATTCGGGCCGTTCGACATCGCTGTAAAAATTCATCCCAACCTGGTCAAGTTTCCAACCTCTGAAAATTCTGTCTCCACCGCTGCCCAGACGGAGCAGGCAGGTGATGAACACGACCTCCCCTGCAGCCGTTGTGCTGCCCACCAGGGACCGGAGGGCATTAGGAAGGCAGAGGGTGGTTGTGCTGCCTCTGCTCTTTCTTGAAACCAAGGAGCAAAATGCAGCAGTGGCTTGACTTGGAGATACACTATCTGAGGGAACTAGAGGACTAGGAAAAAAGACTGATGGGGTCCCTGAAAGAGCAATGGATGGAAACAAAAAGAAGGATGAGACAGGTAGTGGCTCATAAGACGAAAGGGGAGGAAAAAGTGAAGAAAAGCTGGAATTAGAGCAGAAGGATAGAAGAACAAGGACAAACGGTCAGGGATGTCGGTCAGAGCAGAGTGGAACTGTGACAGGAGGCAAGGCAAGATAAAGAGAGAAGTGTAAGCAGAAGGCAGAACTGTCCTTAAGCCTTAGTAAATACTCTACTCCAGAATACCCCTACCTATAAATATTCTACTCCAGAATGAGTCCCGAACCTCTACAACCTTCACAGTCTTCATTTTTTTTAGCCAACAGCTGTAAAACTCACCAGGAAAACACAGATCTGGTCTATTCTCAAGTAGATGGTCTAAAGACCTTCTTTCTTTTATTTTTCTTGAAGTTCTCCACTGTGGATGCAAAGGCCCTCTATTCTCCTGAAAATCTAAGCTGTGCGGTCCATGTAACCATCCAGTTCAGAAAAAAATGAAAAAGTTAAAGGTAGGGTTGCAAAATCAAACACACAAAATGCTGCCTATTGGAAGATTGCCTAATTGCCTTAGCCTTAATGAGAATAGGAATGCTTTTTCAGGTAGTCTGATTAGACATCAAACTGTCTTGTTCCAGCTCCCTCCTTCAGAGAGGTGGCAATGTCTCATGACAGATGTTTTTAGAAGATTGGTGATACAGTATTAGAAACACAGTGAAGTTGGAAATGTCAGAAGAGCAGAACAACAGCAGTTTATTCTGCAGTTTGCACTGTGTTCTGTGAACACAGAATAAAGAGAGTTCATTCTAGTACATA